CTATTGATGAAAGATACAAACATAATAAATGTATTAACAAGTACTAGAACACCTATTGAGATCATATAAAATATAGAGTTATATATATATATCATCTATCGAAACGTACAATGTTTATTATATTGAGTTTAAACCATATTATCTCTCTCGATAACAATAAAATTCACTGACAATTCAATTAATAATCAAGCAATTGAAAATAACGAGAAAAACGATAATAAACATCTACAAATCAAATCAAATTAAAGTTAAAATAATTAATTAAAAACTAAAAATATCATAAAAGTGGTTCATCTCATCCTAACAATGTATAGAATTAACCTAACATATCGAAATTATAAAAAATCATATTTAAGTGAAAAGACATAACCCAAATTTTTGATAAATTGAGAATATGAATCTTGAATCTCTTCAATGATTTCTTGATGAATTTGCACTTGCGCCTTCTCTTCTTTGCCCCAAAAACAAGTTTAAATCTTCACTTGATTGAATTCTTGTAAGTCCCCTTCAATTCGCTCACAAAAATTATGAATTTTCCTCCTTTTTTACGATAATAATTGATCAATATTGAAGTATAAGATGTATACGAGAGGTCTGTACTATATATTCTGCTTTTATGTATTTTAAGAGTAGAAAATTGGTTGAAAATCACGTCCAAATTGGTTTCCAAAAGAGTTCCAATAGAATGAGGAAAGTTGCCTACACACGAGAATTTTTTTTGTCTCTGCACAACAGTTAGTATTTTGGCAATAACTTTCTTTCTCAATATCCAACTGAGGTAATTCAAAGTGAGTTGAAAAGTTAACTTACAATTTTTATATGTACATTTTTTTCAATTCTGACATTTACTATGCCAAAATGGATCTCAATTTTTGATTAAAAATTTGGAATATAACTTGTGCGATTGAAAATTGGTTTTGATAATATTTTGATCATATTCTATTCATTTTTGAATTCTAATTTCGTCCAATTGTCTTCTAACAATTTTCAAAATATCGCCTTGTGGTTCGAATAAACTATTGAATATTTACAATTTGGTCCTCAAACTTTGAATTTTACCCATTTTCGTTGAATTTATTTTTTTTCTTCCAATTCCTCATTCAATCATTGAATTTAACCTATATAACATAAAATACACTTATCAACTAACGATACTAGCAACTTATTCTTTACTTGATGACAAGGATGGAGCATTATTCTTCTTTTGGACCTTATCCACGACGATGATATTCCCCTTGTCCATTGCACTAGTTGGAAAATGTAGATTGTAAGAAGACAACAGATGAGAAGAATGAGATTGGTGAGGGAAAATGTGGCAAGGACATCGAAGAGTGAGCTAGTAGCAATCAACAACAATATGAATAATAGTTGGCATTCTTTTGGTGGGCAAAGAGAACATCATCCTCCTCCAAGTAGGAATGGTTCCAAAATTTAATGTATTTGGAAAAATAATATCAATGATTGGCAATCGGATATTTGAATTACTCTTAGTGTGCAATGGATAGGCCTACCCATTGGGTTGTATCGCTTCAGGCAGTTGTTGTTGAAGAGGAAAATGATGGCCTAACAAATCTTCTCATCGACAAGGTAAACCTTATTAAGGCTACCTTTATAAAGGTCGAGAGTTTATCCTTGAAAGGATCATCCCTTATCATAATGTGCAAAGTGAACACAAAAAGTTGTAAGAATTCAAATGGTATGATAAGAATGTTAATGGTAAGCGCGATGGCTCTCATACTTGTCTATAACTTCGAAGTTCCATGTCTCTTTCTACGAAGAAGAATTCATCCCTCCCTTCCCGAAATTTGTTGAGGGATTTAATAAAAGTATTCCACCCTCACTTGGTGCGGAGGGATATATTGTACTACCATTTCATCCATTTTTCCTGTACAAAGCAATGATTGAATAGAACATGTCGTTGGCATCTTACCGTTGAGCTCTACGATCCGCTAGAGCAGATAGGCTCTCGTCATCTATCCACATTCATTCGATGTCACTTGCTAAGGGGATAAGTTGAAATAATTTAGGATGATGAGAAATAAGTGGTGGGTGTTAGGTAAAAACCATTGCCTATTCACATTATGTAGCTTTCTAGAGATTTGGTCCATAAGGAACCCCGAAAAGGTTACCATCTAATGGATACACGAAGTGACGAAATTTCTTTGACTACAGAACCATGTCTGTCTCTTGGAGTGGATTGGATGATCGAGTTGAGGGCTGCCCCATTTCCCTTCTAGGCATTTGTAATGTAATTGGAGGCAGGCTAATGAATCCTATCCGATATCTAGAATTGCCCGTACAATGTGGCATGTGTGAAGACTCCATACTACTTTGCACAGTTGAGGCATTGAACAAAGATGAGGTTGCCAACTCCTCAGAATACTTTATTGATTTAACCCAACATGTAGTATGGTGAACTGTTCGAGTGGCTAATCATCTCCATCAATTTTGTCCGGCTACTCAATTCGTGCCTAATGCACGAATCTTTCTGGTTAAACCATTAGGCTATGTTGTTGTTGCTTTCTTCTTTGTCTAAAGATTCTTTTGATTTTAAGATCAAAGGCTATGATATCACTATGTCGCAAACATTTCTTGCAAGGAAACGTGAAAAAGAAACAAAAAAAGAGAGTTTAAATTGAATCTACAATTAATAACAAAAACAAATATAAATAAAATAGTCCTGTGAACGAGATCAAAAATTTGTTCGCTTAGACTGCAAGTACATGTATCGTGACTTGTAATAATAAAGTGAATTTTAAGTATAAGTATCTTCTTACAGAAACTAATTATATACTATCAATTTTTATCTAAACCCAGCTCCAATCTAAATTATTTTGGTTACAAATTAGTGATTTGATGAACGAATTTAAACTAATATTATACTAATCTAATACTATTGACTCTTGAATGACCTTGTTGAAGATTTATGGGAATAGACAGTTAGCAATGCTTGAATGATCTTGTGGTAGATTTATTGGATTAGATAGTTAGGAATTTCAATTTCACGTAATTTAATTAATATTTAATTAAACCAAATTAATTCTGCCCTATTTATATATGTTAACAATCTAACTAATCAATTTTAACTAATGATATTTTAAGTAAAATAAATCATATTCACATACTCGAATTTACTGTATTTTTATATAAATTCATACACATATATGCGTATTAATTTGCAAGAATTCAATCTAGATTGCATAACCTATAAAAACATCTCTCGATCTCTTATCAAAATTTATGTTACTTATTGCATGAATTCCAACAAAAAACTTGTGTTTTAGTCTTGCCAAGTCATTATATTATAGTACTGTTCGCTTTGGGAGGTGATCTGCTCTCTTACCCACACAAATTTCTATCTTGTTTTCCATGATTCGAACTCAAGACATTTGCCTTATAGAGATTGGATCGTCAAAACTAGCCCAATTGACATCGAAATTCAACTTAAATTTCTCATAAGGTAGATGTCTTAAATTCTAATCTTGAGGCGAAGCTATCGAAAGTGTGAGGGGTAAGAAGGCAATACTCTTCTAGAGCAGATAGTACGTAATGAGTGAACGATTTAAGTACTAAGGTTGAATCGTTCCAGTAAAATTATAATTTTTCGCAAACAAGTTGCACAAAACTAAAATGAGTTTATAATGAATATAAGTAGTGAATTCTACGAAATATATGAATAATAAGTGGGTAGTACTTGTAAATATGTAATTAAAATTATGAGAATAATTATAAATACCATTAAAAAGTTCGCAAACTCCATACTTACTTTTAAACCTTATTTTATTTTCAAAATACTTATTTTATTCTTTTTTATTTTAATGTTTTTACAAAAAAATTGTAAAAAGTGTGTTACATTTTGTAAAATTGTGTTACACAAATTTCACCATTTGATTTCCAATGCCGTCATTGCTCCATCATTGTAGTCGTCATCACTTATGACACAATGTGTTGAACACATTTTTACGCCATTTCCACCATCACTATGGCCCTTGACACCACCATCTATAACATTCAGTTTTGCCAATTTACCACTTATAACTTTCATTGTTATATCACTACTTTGTAACACTTATTATTAAACTACCATCGGTCACTGTTAGTCATAAAACACAACCACCATTACCATTCACCAGCATCACTACACGCCGCACACCATCATCATCATGAACGCCACTCCAACACGAACACCAAAAGGAAGATTCTAGCATTGAAGGCAAACAAATCTAATTTTTTCAGATTTGTTTTTCTCCAGAACACACACAAATGAAATATCTTCTTAATGTCGAAGTCTGAAAGTCATGACGGCATTGTTCGAAAGTACTATTATGTAAGTTTCTGGTAGGGCCTTCCGATGAAGCCTTTGGAGGCTCTAGGGAAGATGACGTCGAATAAGGAACAACTACAGATTGGAATGGTTCTGAAGCTTCAACAACAGAAGCAAAAGAGGGAAATGTATATGGTGGTCCAAAGGTGGTGAGCCAGTTGTTGTTGGTGGTTGTCAATTCGTGTATATGTGTGTGTCCGTGTAACTGTTAAAAAAAGAAAGTATTTGTGGAATAAAAAATAGTATTGGAATTTTAAAAAAAAAATGTAGATGCCAGGTGTAATTTTCACTAAAATTATTGTTTGGTTTTGTTTAGAAATTATAATGAGATTATAGTTTTATCACTCATTTAGACACAAATTTATAAATTATTTATAAATTCAATCAAAATCAAACATTAATTTCAATAAGGTATTTATAACTATTACTTAGCCCCTGTTTGGGCTACAAATTAAATTTTAGAGAAAAATGTATTTTGAAATAATTATTTTTTAAAGAACGTGTTGTTTAAAAATAAGGAAAAATTTTGAGTTTATATGTAATATTATTTTATTAAAAAATATGTAGTTTAAAATAAGAAATGAATAATGTAATATTACAAAAATGGAGCCCAAACAGGGGCTTATTATTATACACCCATTTCGTAGATCCTACTATTTCTCTTTATAAATTATTTAGCCCCTGTTTGGTACACATTAAAATTTTTAAACTCATTTTTCTACATATTCATTTTCAACTACACATTTTAATACAATAAAATATTTTACAAGTAAATTCAAAAACTTTCCTATTTTATAATCACACAATTTCCTAAAAATCACTATTAAAAACTTTATTTTCTCCAAATAATGTACTTATAAATAAGTTAAATGGAGGCTTAGAATGAATTATTCACCAATCAATTAATTGAACCCAAAATTCCTGATTGTCGGTCCGGGTTGGACATGGTCGAGTTGTAGCCCAATCGATCATTCGAGTTTGGTAATTATTCATCCAAAAGGGAACTGACAAGGTTTAAAATTGGATCAATTCGATTGGTTTCAAAGCATTTTTCCTTTTTAAGTGCTTGTTTGGTAGGGATTTTTGGGGGAAGAATTGATTTTTGAATAGTGATATGATGGGAATGTGTGGTTGAAAATGAAGGAAAAATTATTGATGTGATGAAAAATGTGTGATTGAAAATGAGTAGAAAAATGAGAATAAAAAAAATAATGTGGTCAAACAGGGGCTAAATCCTTTTTGATCTTCAAAAAATTGATCATTAAAATCGAAGTTTCCAGTCTAGAAAATCCTAACTAAAAAATCGGACCGGTGACCCGTAATCCCGATTCGACGATTATTTATGTTCTACTTTGACCAAGTCCCGCTAATAAGCCAAAGTCAGCCCAATTGTTACCCACCTGTCGCCTCATAAATGTCCAAGAAATCCCCAAATTTCATACAAAGATGCACGCCCTAAGCCAACATTGACTAGGTCCTCTCTCCACTTTCCTTATCTGACGCAAATTGCACTCACACTCACTGACACTCTCTACGCCTTCATGGCAACGGAGCTACAGCCGCCGGAAGGCTCAATCTCGATTGGCCCACCGACCACCACTGCCCAATCCCCTGACCCACTTCCAATTGATCACTCCAACCCCAAAGCAGGCCCCTCTGCCACCAACAACCCGGGTCCAAGCCTTGCCCCTAAACGACAGCGCCGGCCCAGTGTCCGGTTGGGAGAGATCGGTGGCGACCCACCTTACGACCACCTCAACCGCCGCCCTATCAGAACCTGGCGCTTCCACAAAGACCCTTCTTTCGCCTCCAAGGCATCCAGGACCCGTCCCCTCACAAACCTGGTTAACGGCGGTAAGTCGAATTACCAAGCTACCCTCGAACCCACCGAGAATTACACAGTCGCTACGGAGTTCACCCACCGGAAGCCCAAGAATAAGAAGGCTGCCAAGCGGGTCCGGACCAATTGGAATAAATTTGAATCCGTGGTTCATAACGGAGGTGTTGGTGCTGGTGGAGAAGGAATAGTTGATAGTGGTAACAATTTTGATGAAGAACAGAACAATAATAATGCTGAATTTCAGGATTTTGAGCCAGAGGGCTCGGAGATTCCCCTGTTAAAAGAGCAGAGCCCTGTCAATTCTGTTGAGAATATGGGGCTGCAGTATTGGGATCAACAGAGGAGGGGAAGTAGGGTCCGGGTTTCGGAGAGTAATGGAATTATTCATGATGAGATTGATTCGCAGGAACAGCGTAGTGGACGGAATGTTGCAGTGAGGGAATGGTTAATTGGGTTGGGATTGGGCAGATATGCCCCAGTTTTTGAGATACATGAGGTCGACGATGAGGTGTTACCGATGTTAACACTTGAGGATCTAAAGGACATGGGAATCAATGCTGTTGGCTCACGGAGGAAAATGTACTCTGCTATTCTCAAGCTGCGGAAAGGGTTTTCGTGAGTTCTGTGTTGTATGAATTGGTTTAGAATTTTTGTTTCATGGTTTTTTGTTTTAATTTTGCTAACCCAAATACTGGTAGTATAATTTTGTTAAGGTAACTTATCTTTGGAGTTATTATTGTTTATGTTGCTCTAATGAGTTATTAGTTGTTGTGGAGTATAACTGTTAAATGGATAAAGGAAGATAGCAAGGAAAGAGACATCAAGACTTGGGTTAGATTGCCTGGTTAGGCCTTTTTATGAAAGGTTTGAATCATCTTAATTACTTTTAGATATCATTGAAGCTAATGAACCAATAAAAAGTCCTACTTTAAAAGTAAGTAGCACTAAAACTAATAAAATTCCAACTTTAACGTCACTTAGCACAGTATTAGTAAATCCACGCTCTGACTTACACATAACTTGGAATATTTTATATCTTTTGTGATGATATGTTTCCTTCTTAAAACACCTAGTGAACTTGGGCTGTGCTCACGAGTTCTTGACTAAACAATAAAGATGAAGTGCAAGGCAATCACTTTATCTATTCATCGCATCTACAATTCAGATTGTGTGAGTTTCTTGTGCAAATGAAATGAGAAATTATTTAAATGGAAGCGTCTTACTTTTCATGGAATGCCATTTTGTTTGTGTGCATAATGTTAAATACTTTGTGCAATTCACGTGAGGAAATTATTGATGGTAGTATTTACATTTAACATTCTTGACAATGCAGTAAATGCTGTATGATTTGTGTGCATATTTTCATACTTAATGAACGCTGTTTTTTTTTTCTTTCTTTCTATCTCTTTTTTTTTTTTTTTTCATTTTTTGTCACACATCTGGCCCTAGGCATGATGAAATGCACAATGCATTCCAACTATAGTTTTACCTGTAAAAAGAAATATAGTAACACCACTTTCGTTAGGATGATTTTTAAAGAAAATATGTAGAATTATACTTTAGGCAAGTGTTATATGATTTGAAAATACTTGGTTTAAGAACGTTATGAAATGTGAATATCAGTTGAGAGTCTATTGTTAGCTGGATCGTTATTGATATTTAGTTTCCTAGGGAAAATATTGTAAGTTGTTAGTTCTGAATCACATTTTATAATTGGTTTGTTAAGGCCAATTAGAGATAAAAACTAGACTTTTCGTTTTGGATGTATCATACTTTACTTCCACTCCCATTCTTTCCGATGCTGCACAGTTGTGTTAAAAAGTTGAAGGAACTTTTAGGGCCTTTAAGAGGTTTCCATGATAAACAATATTTTAAGGGGATTTGTTGAAATGATTGAAGTATCATCAAGAGATTGAATTATAGAATACATTTTGATTCTTTGTTGTATACTACCATTTCTTTTAAATGATTTTAAGAGGTTGGATTGTGTATGGAAATTATTTCTTTTCCAACATATGAAGTTATATTATTCTTTTATACGGTACAATTTTACTGATCAAACTCCAATAAGGTGTGTGACCTAGATATGCAGGGCTAGAAGAACCGAATAGTTTCACGTTGATAACGTGAGTAGGCATTTCATTGTTGGGTAAATCACATTTTTGGTCACTCAAGTTTCAGTAAAATCTTGTCGCTGTCATTCTAACTTCGATTTGTTTCAATAAGGTCACTCATCTTCAATTTTGTTACACAATAGCTAACTCCTGGTTCTGTTACTAAAATTACCATTTAGTGTCCTACGTGTTTGTTTTTTATGACATGTAAAACATGTGTCATTTAACTGCAATGGAATGTTGATGGGGAACTTTCTAAAAAATGAAAAGAAAAAGAAAAATCTGAATCTCATCCCTCTCCCTCTCCCTCTCCCTCACCCTAACAAGCACCTCACCACCACCCGTTAATCTTCTCAAATCAACCCTCACATGCCACCCCACCCCTTCCCACACCCTTACCCAAAACCAGATTGTTTATTGCAATGAATCTTTCAGGACCAAGCACTTTATGCTGCAGAGGCAGATAAGCTCTTCTACTGGACAAAAGTCAAACTGGATTTTCTTTTACTAATGCCATGGAGATGTACGCAGAAAATACTTTGGTTTACTTGTTAACGCTTTTAGTGGTGTGCTTTAATCGCCCTGCCCCCGTCACAACTAGTTCATCATCTCTATCCAAATCTATTGCCCTTGGCATTTGTGCCCTTCATTGTGTTATGAATTTTCAAAGACCACGTAACTTCTCTGATATTGTAGTGATGAATTTGATTTCCTTCAACCAAATACCGGATATTGAGATTGGGCAAGGGATGAGCGACTTGATTATTGGTTACAGAAGAAGAACTGGTGAGAGTGGGGTAAGGGATGATGAGGTATATTTGTTTTCCTTTTTCTAAAAAGTGCTTGTGCATTTCAAGACAGGAACCTGCAATGTTTGTTTAAACATCAGTTAAATAACGGCTACATAGGACACTAATGGTAATTTTAGTAATGGAGGTAGATGGAGTGATCTATTGTATGACAAAATTAAATATGAGTGACCTTATTTCAACGAATTGAAGTTTAAGTGACGTTGATGAGATTTTACTGAAAGTTGATTAACCAAAAATGTTATTTACCCTTCTTTTTTACTGAAAAAATAGTTAAAAGGAATCCTCGTTTAGTCATATCATATATTTAAATAGGGGCATCTTTAGAAAGGAATTATTTTTGGAAAGGAGACAGTATTTGTGGATGTCTTAAAAACGAGATAGAAGCATTTAATCATGCGTGTATAATGGAAGTATTGTATTCCCACAATGTACAAACTAATTATCTTTGCACTTTCTCATGCTTTACTTTAAGAACAATAGCTGGTTGAAACATTGATTATCCTAATTGCATGGTTTTTAAATGGTCATTTCAAAATATATTATACCTGCATTCAATTGCTTTGTACTTCCAAGTAGTATGTTCCAGTTTCCGCGTATGGTGATATTTAGATGCCTTAAAGGAAAGACCCTGTAAATTCAGTTTTTTATATTCCTAACCAACCAGCTCCTAGCTATTATTGATGTGTAGAGGTGGCTTTGGCACTTCCATTTCCATTGTTTGTGAAGTTCCTATAAGTTCTCAGGCGGGGCAGAAAATCATATTGGGATCAGTGTTTTAATCCCTCCTTTGGTTTCTCTGTCAATAAGGTTCTAAGTCACTCTGGTTATTATGTATTAAATTTTTCTTTATTCACTGATATTGTTGCCTTCAATTTTCTTAGTTTTTGTATCAGCGCTTTCCTTGTTGTAGTTCAATTTGGCCATGGTCCCAAGAGTTGCCATTGCCTTGCAAGTTGGTGTTAATTTCGCTGTGGCTTCTGGAACCTGGTGCCAGATCCCCTACATGCCTTGACCTTATGTAGCTCACAAGTGTTTCCCTGTATTTTTATTTAATTCCTTAGCATCCCCATGTATAGCTCTTTCATGTTTCCATTTATTGTGAAGGAATTGCTCTTGCTAAGGTTCTTATCTCACATTTCCAGCATAAATTCAGTAGGTTTCTATCTGAGATAGGCAATGGCATTTTGGGGAAGTTACGCATTTTAATTTGACTGTTCAAGAATCAGTGTTTTGGCAATTTCGAGCAAGCAAAAAATGGGTAATCAACCGAATGGAACTCCGAAATTAGCAGTTGGATTCTCTAGATTTTTTTATCTTTTGGAACTGTAATGATTTTTTAGGATTGAAAAGGATCTGCAGTCTCTTTACCAAGTTAATGTTACCATACAACTTCACTGAGCACATGGCGTTTATATGTGCAATTTCGTGAAGGTTCAAGCTGAATGAGTACATGTACATTTTTATATATAGGTGCAACTTGCAAGTGAGTTTGAACAGTGAATTAAGTTCAAATTTGTTGTTTTACTGAAATACTACCTTGAGAAGCTCTCTTTTTAGTTGAAACTGCATTCTTGCAAAAAGATTCATAATTATTTTGTTTGTATATCTGTGTTCAGTTTAAACTTTAATGTTGTTACTTGCAGTTTTCATTTGGAATGTTGAAATTATTTGTTTTATTGTGATTCTCAGGTGGTTTTCTGGTCGATCATCAACTGTACATCTTGTCATCGTTCAAATTTATTGCCTTTAGCTTCATCTGTGTTTTGTTCAAACTTCGCCATCGGACAAAATTTTCATAGTTTTCCCAAAACAGAATTGGGATTAGTTATTTCTGCTTGTGCGCTTGTTATGTGTTGATCCTCTCATCTGGTGCGAGTGTTAGATGAACAACACGAGTTCATTACTCATGCCGGATTTGTACATCGTCAGTAAATCTCGAAATGTAACATCGCAAATTTTCGCAAAGAAAATTATTTACAATTTATTTATTCTCAATCTCGAGGTTAAAATATATTAGAAGAAATAAGAAAAAGGAAGCAAATAAGAGAGGAATGTATTATAGAGAGATGCAAGACTTACAATTGGGAAACAAATTTCTACTCAATCAATTAACAACGTAGTTTATATTAGGTTTTGGTAGTACAACGTTGTTTAGATCATATGCCATAGAAACCCAATATTTGTGTAGAGATGACAATTTGTCCCGTCAAACTCGAGCTCCATGTTGTCTTGTCTCGTTCAGGGTGACCGGTTGGGGATGGGGGAATCCCCTCCCATATCTTCCCGAGTTGTTTTATGAATAATATTATTTATCATTATGATAATAAAATATCGGTGATATAACAATCTATGAGGGTTGACTTTTTTATGTCAACATCTAATTTTCAAATTATTGACTTGTTCATAGAATTTATAGGAAAAAATTTAAAAATTAGTACCCCCACCCTGCCCCATCCTGCCTTAAGAAATGGAGATTGGGGTGGGGCGATAAAATCCTCACCGGGCAGGGATGAGCACTCCACCCATCGCCATCCCTATCCTCCAGCATGCATGTTATTGTGGGGGCTTCGACATACTATATATTTATTATCTTCAAGATCATTACAGAATTATAAGTTAATTCACCAAAAATAAATAAATAAAGAGGAATGAGAAAACAACAAACACACTATCCAAAAATAGGCAAATGCAGTGGCATTTATAAATAATACAAATGTGGGGTTGAAAAGTTAATTAAATAAATTAAGCACTCGTTCTTCCATAGTGTAGAACCATTATATGATCAGTAGTTGAGGAATCTGGAAGCAAAGTTACCATCTCCATTGGTCTCCATATGCTGTCCCTTACATGCTGCAACGTCAAGAAAGGTTGAAGCTTTTGTCTTCTACATCTTATCTCTATCTGCTACCAAAAATCCAAAATTAATATCAAAATTATTAACTAATCGAAGCTTATAATGCTTGCGTATATTTATAGTTATACCAAATCCCGCACCTAGCCACAAATAATCTCGTCTGGAACGAAAAAGAGAAAAAAAAAAAAAGACTCACTTCCCTTTTCTTTTGCATGATATACATCAGATAAAATCGCTGACTATGAATAACATTACTCTATTACTAAACGTCCACTTTACACATAAGATCTCTTTCCACTTCACAGATTCCTCCCTTCAAAAGAGCATTACGAACATCCATCCAAGTGTATATAAATTAATTACTTTTTTATTTATTTATAAATAATTCTATCAGCAATAAGCCATTGATGTCCACGATTGGAAAATGTCGGTCTTTAATCATATTGAAGGGACCCATTTAGACTTTGATCCTAAGCCAAAATGATTGATTACAATTTAAGATTTCATTTTTATACACTTTAAATATTATACACAAAAATATGAATATAAATAATTAATAATAAGGTAAGTAGGCAAGGAATCAAACACTATTATTTTTTCATGCACGTCGTATTCACGTTATTTTCTCTCCTTAAGAAACGCTAATTTTTAATATTATTCTTGTACAAAATCTCCACAACATGGTAACAAGACATTTTCTTAAGAATTTATTATTATTTTTTATAGTTCAATGTGCGACATTCCATTCATACATTTCATTAAACATTTCGTCTGTTTCTTGTCAACAACATGAAATGATTCCATTCCAAATTATCCATCATGCATTGCTTTGCTCCCACGTAACAAATTATATATTTATTTTTTTAAATAAAAATATTTCTAGAATAAAACGTATCATCTACTGGGGTCGACTAAAATATCATACACTTGATACTATGCAATATGATTAATTTTTTCAAGGTGGGGTTTGAATACCAAACCATTGATTGCCTTTTTATTTGCACAAAATGCGGGAGAGACTAAGGGCCTACATTGGGTGAGGTGAAACAATTGAAAGCATGACGACTATATCTAGCTATAACACAAAAATTATAATTTAAAAAAAAAAGAAAAAAGAAAACCCGCCGGCCACCATAATTAAATGACAACTTTTTTTTTTTTTTTTCCATTTCCTATATTGATGATTGATCATTTTCCCTATGACTCTTTTAACATCCATGTCAATTAAAGTAGGTTTTATCTCTCCTCAATTTTCTATAAATAATCATTGCTTAAATACATCGTGATGGTCAATAATCGATATCTAAGTTATGCAACAAATTAGTCATGTGAATGCACAAGATGAATCAAAGATCCTAACATAGGCTCTCATGGCACTGAACTTGATGTAGTGAAAGAGTAATTGCACCTTTTAGTTTTGTGTGGTTCGACTCGAATTTAAGAAATAAGGAAAAGGACTAAGATGGTAATTTTTAGGCAAATTGTATTGGAAAGGGAAATAGTTTTGCAATTAGGTAAATGACTCCTAAAAAAAGGAAAAGAAATTTATCATAGGAGTTCAAGGGTCTTTCCTATAAATCCATGGCATTGCATTGAGAATAATTGTATTTGGCACTAAGGTAATGTAAATTCGGGTAGAGAATTATGTGCGTTAGAGAGAGAAAATTGTTAGAAAGAAACTAGGAAAAAAAATAATGGTACGAACTTATGTGCGTCGTACTTTGATTGTTGTAGTTTTTGTAGGAAGAATTTGTGGTAGTGAAGTAAAGATTGTATTATGTGATTTTCTCAGTTAATAAAGCCCACTTCTCATGTGATTGTAGGCGATTTGTCAAACTATGATTAATTTGTGCTTTTCAATGCCTTGTCTTTGTCTTTTTCGATTTCGTTACATTAGGTGGGATTTTTCCTAACAAGTTGCATTAAAGCTCATGGTTCAAAATTTGGGATTGTCTTAAGGATGATATGCTCAAAGTTTCAGTAGAAGCGTGGTGATCATGAACTGACACAAAGGAAGAATTGTGGTGGCAATCGAGTCACTCAAAGGTAAAGCTATGATGATAGAGTTTCACCGGTTGATTGATATTGAGGTGGAGCTGTGGTGATTGATCATATGGATTTGGAGTTGTGGTGAACAAGTCATGTAGGAAAGGGACTTCCGTCGTCAAAGAATGTGAAGTGACCAATACAAATTCCATGGCTAGTGATGAGAAAACAAAATATTGTAGTGAGAAGAAACCAAACTGCAAGGTTATGTTTGATGAATTTGATTGTGTAACTAAAATTGATTGAAGAACGATGGTATCTATAGTAAAGGGGTGTGATGATTAGTATCTAGACGTATCGCGATTGGGAAATTTTGGGTCAAGGTGGAGATTGTTGAGTTTGACCCAAATTTGAAAAATAAAGAGTCCTATTGTTAAAATAATAATAATAATAATAAAAAATAAAAAATTAAATTAAAATTGTTTGGCAATGAATAGGAAATATTGCAAGAAGAATCTTTTTGGGTCAAGGAAAGGAACCGAGATGGTGGTTTCTTGAAGAATTGTATTGGAAAGAGAATAGTTTTGCACTTACACGAAAAAGATTCTTAATGCAATAAGGTAAAGAAATTTACTATAAGAGTTCAAGTGTCTTTCATATAAATTCATAGCATTGCATTGAGAATAATCGTGCTTGGCACCAAGGTGATGTGAAGTTGGATTGACAATTACGTGCATTCAAAATTGTGGGAGTTTAAAGAGAAAAAATTGTAAGAGAAACTAGGAAAACACAACGGTACGAACTTGTGTGTCGTACGTTGATTATTCAAGTTTTCTGTAGGGAGAAGTTGTGAGAATAAAGAAAATATAGTATTGTGTGGTTTCCCGACTTTCTACTTCTCATGTAGTTATTGACACTTTGTCGAATCACATTTAATTTATAATTTTATCTTTCATGTTCGTTTTTGTGATTTTATTTCGGGACACAAGGTGGGATTTTTCCCTTAAAGTATAATGCACGATTCTTCCTAACTAGAAAAAGATAGAAATAAATTATCGTTAGAAGACGACCTAGAATGTGTTAAGAATGGAACCTAGGTCCCCAACAATTATATATTCTCACATATATACCTACCGCGAAAACAAAATAATTCGAAGCAGGGAAACTATTTGATTTGATAGCAAATCACCACAAGATTTAGGACTTATTCGATGTAGATTTTTTGAAATAAATTGTGGGAATAATTGTTTTGGAGAATGTGTGGTTTAAAATTAGAAAAAACTATGGATCAACAGGCAAAAATATTTATTAGGAGAATATATAAATAAAAATAAATTTAGAAAAATGAATTTTTAAAAATTGTGCAAAAGAGGAGCTTAATTTCACGATTATCTTGTTCGATTCATGTTTGTGTGTGACAGAGAAACATTATTCCTAATCGTAGTTAAATTATAAATGGACACGACACTTTCGTCGACAAAAAAATTTTATTCCTTAACTAGTTACATGGCATGTGCGAAAAGTAAGATTTGGCGTTAAGGCTAGAATTTTTTTGTATAATGTAATATGATTCCACTCAAGTCATGCATATGAGGAAGACTTCATCACAAAAAAATAAAAATAAATAAATAAATAAACCGAAGTTGACCTTTAGAAAAAAAAAATGCATAGAATCTCAGAGAAGCATGAGGTATGTTGAGTGTCACACATTATAAAAATAAATTCAATTATAATTAACATGATAATGTCAATCCAAATATATGACTAAATAAATGTACTTATTTATTTATGTTGAGTGTCTCATTATAAAAATAAATTAGTTTGTTTACTTTGAAGAGAGAATTTTGGATGTTGCTCATAGTTGTTTTGTTTGAGAGAATATTATTCTGTCCTATTCTTATCCCTTTATGACATGCATTGCACATAAGAGAGTTTTACGCAACCAAATCAAAGTACAAAGTTGACCTCAATACTAAAATAAATGAAGACATATGGACTTAGGATGAAACAAAATCAAATATTGTATTATGTCAAGACATCCTAGCTAAAAAGCAAATAATATTAATGCCTTTCTATTAGTTAATTTTTCTTTAAATATATAATTGAAGCTATACGTGCCACGGCTGTTGAATTGGTCGAGCTAATTAGTACTCGACCTAGTAGTTGAGGTATGGCTCCTATTTGGTATAGCTAAAAAATAGATTTTTAGTAGATTTAGACAAAAGCAGATAAAAGATATAGTTGAAAAGTTATGAATCCCATGAAATGTGTGGTTAAACTTAAATTTAATTATTATCTTTGACTTAAATTTTAATTAAAATTTTTAGTCACACCAAACAGGGGCTAACTTTTAACAAGTACATTAACCCGAAAACCCTAAAAGTTTAAGACAATAAACACAAGAAAAGGAAATAGGGTCATAACTTTAACCTACACCTCATGTAAGAATGGGAGATTTTATGGAATAAACAAGTTAAAAAGAAAGAACATTTTGAGATTGTAACTTAATAGGCTTGTGTTGTTAACAAAAGGAGAATGTAAAGAAAGATTAATTTTAATTCTCTCTCCAAACTACCTAAAAATTCAATCTTCAGTTAGTTAATATTGATGCTATTCCTTCAATGTCACTATCTCAAAAATATGAGTTGGCATTCGTAGATTTTGAAGAAAAGAGAGGGAACGAAAGGGCTCACGAAAAAGATATTGTATTTTTAATATTTTTCCCAATAAGTTATGCAAGAGAAACTTATTAGAAATTTTGAGAGTTGTAGGAAAATCACATATTTAAATATAAAAATAAAAATCAACATATATGAACTTATGCTGCTCTTTTAATTAGGTAGACAACTTAAAATGGAATTTCAAAAAATATGATAGGTCATCTTTCACTTTCAGTTTGGAGCCATGGAGATCATGTGTAGTTTTATATATCCTAGTCTAACATAATCCAGAAACCCTAGTTTACTTTTGCCTTGACAACAAACTCTACAAATGTGTATGCTCTTGAATTTCTTCTATTTTATATCTAAGTCTGCATCTGGTAAATTTATTCTCCTTCTGTTCCATTTATACAGGTTGATTTTGTTTTTCACACGGATTAAGAAATCGTATTTAGAGCCTATTTGAACTCCATTTTTTTTTTCTTAAGAATGCATTTTAGAATAATAGATAGATGGAGAATGTGTGGTTGAAAAATAAGGAAAGATTTTGAGTTTGCGTATAATATTATTTTATTGAACAATGTGTGATCGAAGATGCATAATTAAGTTTTTCTTCCTCTTCTTTCTCTGGTAAAAAGCCTTTTAAAACACTAAGAAATGAATGTATATATATATATGCCCAATAACGAGAAATTAACTCCATTTTATTTTCTTGGTTTGGGTTTTGGTGGTAAGTAGTTTTCTACTACATTTCGTCACTTTAACCCTAAACCTTAATCCCATCCGTAAAGCTTGTAACTAAATGTAAGCATGAACCAGATAAATTTAACGTCAACAATTTCATTGAACATTTCACAAATTAGGCAACATAGTTTCATTGCAAGAATAAGTTAAGAGCTCGATCAAGCTAATTATGATGCAAAAGCTAAACGAGACGAAGATGGCTACCTAGAAATCAACGTCACACCTAATCTTGAAGTTACCTAAAAGTAATAAATATTACTAATGGAAAAGCCCATATAGTTCTGATGTTTCTATCATCTTTCTTGCACCAACCATATCCTCGAACATTTTATTCATTTACATGTTGTTCGTCGATTTTGAATCGATAGTGTTATAAACATATTGATTAATAATCCAAACTGCAAGCATGTTCAGAGAGAGAGAGAGAGAGAAGAGAAAAATGTAGCTGGATTGATTACATACCTCTGATTCGCTTTCGAGTCTAAGCTTGTTAACCAGATACTTGATTACGAATTGAATCGTCATACTTCCATCCCTAACGGTTTAAAGATAAGTTAATGCAAACCTAGTTAACCACAGAGAATGGAAAAATGGAGAAAATGAAAGGACATGATGCCAAAGAGTTGCGGAGAGAGAATTACTTGATTCTTAGATAGCTCCTGGATATCTGAGGCAGAAATGGTTCTTTTGCTCTGCAATGAAAAATTGAACGCGTAAGAGAACGAATAGAGACCAAAAAAGTAAATAAAAAGCAAAGGAAAAGAAAGACCTAACGGTGATGAATATTAAAATATCGTTACTTACTGATTTTGTGATGCTTGAAGCATAAACCATATGCCGGAATGTGGTCTCCGAGGAGGACGAATGACTCTGAACTCTAGACCTGGCCCGGAGGTATCCATTCCGTCATGGATTTGAAATGGAAGGGGAGGCATTGACGACGAAGATGTTGCTATATTAACTGGAGTAGGCCTAAACGTCTTGTTAATCTCTTGACGAGGAAAATTAGAACTAGTTCCGGTTGGATGTTGCCAGAGAATTGGGAGGTTATAGCCGGAACCGGCAGCCAAATTCATAACTGTAGGCTGAGGAGCTGAATGTTCCGTCATGTTAAGCATAGGGCCTAATGTTCTCATCACTTGTGAATCAGAATTATAATTACTACTTGGTAGAAGATCAAGCTCGATTAATCTTCTTTTTTGATCCACCTGTTCTTGCTTCTTATTACTGCTTACTGTGTGGCGGCCACCAATACTCAATTGAAGCCACCCTTCATCTTTATCTTCTTGAACATCTTTTAAACTGGAGCCTGCTGTTTCATTTACAGTACTCCCAGTTCTTGATTCATCTTCCGCCATTGGATCTACCTGGTGATCAGATCCTAATAAGCAATTTCCACTACAATAATCAAAACCATCTGATGGGCTCACAAGACCGAAACCCTGAAAATAACTACCACAAAACTGCTGTCTGAAGAGGTTTTTAGAAGGAATCATTGTCATCCTGAAAAACCCAGAAACCCCAATTCCCAGTACATGTGAGAGTTAATCTTGTTCAGCTTTTCCTTAATCTCAACGAAATCCATGAATTGGAAACAACTCCTTATACTGGAAAGAGATATATTTTGTTTCAAAGAACATATTGAGATACTATGGAGACATTGATACCCACTGACCAGATAAGAGTACTATGTTTTTCTTCTATCTTTTTTTACCTTGGGACAAATCAAAGGATAATAAGGAGAGATAAAACTTGCAAAATCTCACTTTCCATTATTCTCATCGTTTGGAAGATTGTGAGGGGATGAAATAGTTGCAGGGGTGGGTAGGTGGTGGTCAGTCAGTTACATTAAAATATATATATATACACATACATGTGTGTGTATATATATCTAGAGGCCAGGTCGAACAGTATATTTCTGCTCTTTCCTTTTTCTTCTTGACTTTATTATTAAGATAGGACTACTTGTTTTCTGGTGGATATTTTTCAGCTAACTTTAGGGCTTGTTCCAAGAATTGGAATTACAATAGAATTCTCTTTTTTCTGTACCATGAAAAGGACCTTTTTGGCTTTTGTAGGGCACACATGTTCAAAGAGATAAGAGGCAATAAAATTATATACTGTGTGTTAGAGAATTTCGCTTGCTAAACGTATAACACGTACAATTTTTTTTCTGGATAATCGTGACCGTTGAACACAGATATTTGTCTACTCCAATACTATGTCAAGTTAACAATCTCATTTAAAAAATTAAACTTGTAAGAAAATGATGATTTGTTCATGTTTTAATGGTCCACTAATTATTTCACAATTTAATTCTTTTCTTCATTTGATTAGCTTACAAAATAGGAGGGTTTTTTTTTCTCCCTTTTCAAACCCTTTTACAGTATACTTCTTAACATAAATTTGGAACTAAGAAAACACTTTCAGTGAGTTTAACCTCCATTTAAAAATTAGAGGTGCCAACCTATGAGAATTTGGATTTTGATATGCTCAAACTTTAATTAATTCGTAGCACTACGTCATAACTCTTTTCGCGGTCAAATGAATGTGAATGGTATTATAGGGACTCAAATGCTACAAATTTGAAAGTTGTGGACCTAGTTATCATAAAGCTAGGGCAGAGAACTCAATCTAGGTTAAGCTGAATTTTTGTTTTATTAATGGAACATTTAATGTAGGAGTATAAATTATTTCATCAAGAGCTTTGCAATGGTCATGAAAAATTTGGTTTCAACTGTTACGCTCAATGTTCTTAAAAGAGAAAAAGGTGACAAGACAGTAATAGGGATGGCAAAAAAGCTCGTCGGCTCGGGCTCGGCTATGAAAAAGGTCGAGCTGGGCCCGGCTCGAGCTTTGTTACACCGAGCCAAGGCTCGGGCCCAGCTTCATTTTTTTGGCCGGGCTTTGTTCGGCTCAGGCCCAAAAAAGCTTGAGCCGAGCCCCAGTTTTTTAATTTAATTTATACTAAGCATAAATCGTATAAATTTTAAATTTTGTAAGTAAAAATTTAGATTTGACATTAAGAAAATAAAAACCCGAACGGTTCGGTCCGGGCTCGACTTGGCCCGCTAAGGCTCGGGTCGAGCCTCATTTTTTTTGGCCGAACTTTGCTCGGCTCAGGCCCAAAAAAGCTCGAGCCGAACCCGAGCTTTTTTTTTTTTTGGCTCGGCTCGTTGACATAGCTAGACGGTAAAGTTAAGCTTCAAATTTTTACGAGCTTAAGCATCTCTAGCCCAGACGTTAAAAAAATAAAAAATAAAAATCGTAAAGTTTAGTTAAGCAACAAGATCATGATTTGCACCTAAACACTATTTTTAGAACATTGGTTACTATAGTGAAAATAAATTTTTATGACAAGTAAAACTTGTATATATGAAAGTTGATTAATTTTCTCAAAAAGAAAAAAGTTCATTAATTTAAACCCTTTTAGTGATCATAGAACCCTTAAATTTGCACAAATTTGAAAGCAAGATTGAGGAGGATGTAAATGGTGGCAATTTTTTGAGGGGTAGAAAGATATCCCCATAAAAGAGAGCTACGAGTTGTCATGCTTGCCTCCTTTCTCCCACTACTCCTTTATATGAAATTAGCTAATCATATCATCTCCCACACTCCTTTATTGTATGCAACAACAAAAGATTGTCCTCTCTACAAATTAGTGCACAAGTACACAAGCATTTGAGCCTTAAACATATCAAATTGTTCATGTGAGTATAACGTACGTACCTTGCTACCATATTGAAATTTAGGGTTCATTTTGAACGTTTATTTTAACATCCATAAACTCGTACTTAGTAAACACCTCTAAGTTACTAATCAAATTCAAGGGCGATCCAATTTCAATTCAAATAATCAAGACGTTCTTCAAGAACCTATTTGTCAGTTGACTCCTTATTTAAAAGCCTCCGGTCTTGTTTTCGGCCAAAAAGAAATTGGACGAGACCACATTTGATGGGCTGAAATAGAGTTCAATCAACATTTTCTGGAGTAGGGGCAGTCAACATTATACATATAATACATATGTAAGTATTGTATGTATCGAATTAGTGGGGTGAGGGTGGCACATGCCTGTACTTCTTGGGTTCAAGGAACACCATCATGCATACAAGAATCACGTTCATTTCTTTATAAATTACCTATTAATTAATTACGTACTTGTTACATGTTAATTGTGTGTCATATGGTCAGGTAATTATGCCATTATTCCCTGTCAACTATTTGGATCACTATTTTATTTCATTTTTTATTTTTTAAATCACGGGTTTTCCTGATATGTGGACCCCTACAATTAGGTCAGGTTAGACTTGGTCCGAACTTTTTCTCATTATGTGTTTTGGAAATTTAGGATTAGAATATAAATACATTGTCGTTGAAAACATATTCGAGTGGGACATTGTTGTTAAATACATTGTCGTTAAGAATGATTGTAATCTCAAGATATTGAACGGACCGATTTTGGCACATTGAATATAATCGTAGCAAGCGAAAAACCCTTTTCATAAGGGAATGTAAAAGCAAAGTTAGAGAGAAAAATTATTATATGGGTGATTACACGTAACTATAATGCATGGCATTATGATTTAGATGGATCGAGATTCCCTAATTGATTGATTTCAAAATTAAAGTTGGGACAAAATTATTACAGCTTTTGCCAATATGAAAGAAAGACATGAAATTGAAGATAAAAACCCATTGCTTCTTTAGTCTCTTGTAATAATGATATCATCATTTACAATGAAAGAAATAAGCAAAAATGAGATCCCAATAATGATTTTGGCTATATAACTTTTTTTTCCCTCTTTTTCTCACTTCGTAACTATTGTTTTCCTCATACACATTAGCAATTCAATATACGCATAAAATACCCAATACAACTAATAATAATAGACCCGAGCTCTAGTATACAGATGTACATTATGATTATACTCTGTAGTGTCTACACAACTCGAATTTTGACCTGTCATCTAGTCACATTATACGAAACTTGGACTTAAAATATAGTACAATAAATTTAACCAGCTCTAGTGAACCAAGAGGTAAAAGAATATATGTACAACATATATGGTTCCTTTTTTAGTTTCTTTACATGATCTGGTGATAGAGACTACTCTAAAGGAGAGAAAGGTATAGGGTGGTGGATGATAAAATCTATGTAATTGGAATCGACTCGGTTCGACCCAATCAGTGAAATCGAGAATTGGGGCCCAAACTCGAGCCTGTTAGGCAGAAAAATCATTTTTTTTTTTAAACTTGTCCAAAAATTTGACAACCTGCCCCATTTTATGAAAATCATTGACTCATTTTCGGTTTCACCAATTTAAAATCGCTCAAACTTAGGTCAAAAAAATTCATCCTTTTTATTTAATTATTTTTTAATTTAAATCACTGGATTCCGATTCGATCATTTGAACCTCGATCCTTCTCCCTTTTTGGATCAATTCCTAATTCACTTGCTGAGTCTCTTTGCATCAGGTGCCGTTCGGCCAACCCAGGGTTGCGGACCAGCTGGGTTGGGTTCGTCTTCATCAGGAGCAGCTGACCCACTAATGGGTTAGACCCAATTACGCCCAGAACAAGTTCAATTTTCGTCTGAATTGTTCGCCTGTGTGAACTCGTGGGTTGCCTGCGTTGTAATTTTTTAATTTGATTTTCGGCCAAATCTGTTGGAGTTGGGGCTGGTGGTTAGGTGGGTTGTGAAGAGGGCAATGAGGGCTTCAAGGTGGTATGTTGGTCCGGCGGCCACGGTGATTGGAGGTTGAGGAATTTGCCTTCAAAGGTGGTGGCTTAGGAGGTGATGATTTTTTCATGTTTGTGGCTGATTTGTACATTTTTAAAAGTTTGGACCCATAATTACCATTTATTTTGTATTTTTCTTTTCTTTTTGTTTTATTTTCTTTGAATATCCCAATAATGATTTTGGCTATATCACTTTTTTTTCCCTCTTTTTCTCACTTCGTAACTATTGTTTTCCTCATATACATTAGCAATTCAATATACGCATGAAATACCCAATACAACTAATAATAATGACCCGAGCTCTAGTATACAAATATACATTATAATTATACTCTACAGTGTCTACACAGCTCGAATTTTGACCTGTCATCTAGTCACGTTATACGAAACCTGGACTTAAAATATAGTACAATAAATTTAACCAGCTCTAGTGAACCAAGAGGTAAAAGAATATATGTACAACATGTATGGTTCCTTTTTTAGTTTCTTTACATGATCTGGTGATAGAGACTACTCTAAAAGAGAGAAAGGTATAGGGTGGTGGATGATAAAATCTATGTAATTGGAATCGACTCGGTTCGACCCAATCAGTGAAATCGAGAATTGGGGCCCAAACTCGAGCCTGTTAGGCAGAAAAATCATTTTTTTTTTTTAACTTGTCCAAAAATTTGACAACCTGCCCTATTTTATGAAAATCATTGATCATTTTCGGTTTCACCAATTTAAAATCGCTCAAAATTAGGACAAAAAAATTCAT